CAAGTCTATCAATGTAATTCACCACATAAACAGAACCAAAAACAAAAACTACATGATTATCTCAATTGACGCAGAGAAGGCATTTGACAAAATTCAACAGCCCTTTATGCTAAAAACCCTCAATAAACTCAGTATCGATGGAACGTATCTCAAAGTAATAAAAGCTATTTATGACAAACCAACAGCCAATATCATACTTAATGGGCAAAAACTGCAAGCATTCCCTTTGAAATCCGGCAATAGACAAGGATGCCCTCTGTCACCACTCCTACTCAATACAGTACTGGAAGTTCTAGCCACAGCAATCAGGCAAGAAAAAGAAATAAAGGGTATTCAAATAGAAAAGGTGGAAGCCAAATTGTCTCTATTTGCAGATGACATGATAGTATACCTAGAAGACCCCATCGCCTCAGCCCAAAAACTCCTGAAACTGATAAGCAACTTCAGCAAAGTCTCAGGATATAAAATCAATGTGCAAAAATCACAAGCATTCGTCTACACCAATAACAGACTTAAAGAGAGCCAAACCAAGAACGAACTGCCATTCACAATTGCTACAAAAAGAATAAAATACCTTGGAATACAACTCACAAGGAACGTAAGGGACCTCTTCAAGGAAAACTACAAACCACTGCTCAACGAAATCAGAGAGGACACACACAGATGGAGAAACATTCCATGTTCATGGTTAGGAAGAATTAATATCGTGAAAATGGCTATACTGCCCAAAGTAATTTACAGAATCAATGCTATACCCATCAAGCTACCATTGACTTTCTTCAAAGAACTGGAAAAAACCACCATGAACTTCATATGGAACCAAAAGAGAGCCCGCATAGCCAAGTCAATTCTAAGCAAAAAGAACACAGCGGGGGGCATCACACTACCGGATTTCAAACTATACTACAAGGCTACAGTAATCAAAATAGCATGGTACTGGTACCAAAACAGAGATATAGATCAATGGAACAGAACAGAGGCATCAGAGGCAACACAACATAGCTACAACCACACAATCTTTGATAAACCTGACAAAAACAAGCAATGGGGAAAGGATTCCCTGTTCAACAAATGATGCTGGGAAAACTGGCTAGCCCTGTGCAGAAAGCAGAAACTGGACCCCTTTCTGACACCTTACACTAAAATTAACTCCAGATGGATTAAAGACTTAAACATAAGACCTGGCACCATAAAAACCCTAGAAGGAAATCTAGGCAAAACCATCCAGGACATAGGAGTAGGCAAGGACTTCATGAACAAAACACCAAAAGTATTGGCAACAAAAGCCAAAATAGACAAATGGGACCTAATCAAACTCCACGGCTTCTGCACAGCAAAAGAAACAGTCTCTAGTATGAATCGGCAACCAACAGAATGGGAAAAATTTTTTGCAGTTTACCCATCTGACAAAGGGCTGATATCTAGAATTTACAAAGAACTCAAACAGATTTACAGGAAAAAAAAAACAAGCCCATTCAAAAGTGGGTAAAGGATCTGAGCAGACACTTTACGAAAGAAGACATACATGAGGCCAACAATCATATGAAAAAATGCTCATCGTCACTGGTCATCAGAGATGCAAATCAAAACCACTTTGAGATACCATCTCACGCCAGTTAGAATGGCGATCATTAAAAAATCTGGAGACAACAGATGCTGGAGAGGATGTGGAGAAAAAGGAACACTTTTACACTGTTGGTGGGAGTGTAAATTAGTCCAGCCATTGTGGAAGACGGTGTGGCGATTCCTCAAGGCCTTAGAAATAGAAATTCCATTTGACCCAGCAATCCCATTACTGGGTATATATCCAAAGGATTATAAATCGTTCTACTATAAGGACACGTGCACACGAATGTTCACTGCAGCACTGTTTACAATAGCAAAGACCTGGAATCAACCCAAATGCCCATCGATGATAGACTGGATTGGGAAAATGTGGCACATATACACCATGGAATATTATGCAGCAATCAGAAATGATGAGTTCGTGTCATTTGTAGGGACATGGATGAATCTGGAGAACATCATTCTCAGCAAACTGACACAAGAACAGAAAATGAAACACCGCATAGTCTCACTCATAGGCGGGTGATGAAAAATGAGAACACATGGACACAGAGAAGGGAGTACTAAACACTGGGGTCTATTGGGGGGAAAAGGGAAGGGCCAGTGGGAGGGGGAGGTGGGGAGGGATAGCCTGGGGAGAAATGCCAAATGTGGGTGAAGGGGAGAAAGCAAACAAAACACAGTGCCATGTGTGTACCTATGCAACTGTATTGCATGCTATGCACATGTACCCCAAAACCTAAAATGCAATAAAAAATAAAAAAAATAAAAATAAAAAGAGCTAACGATCATAACACCCAGATACATAAGACTCATAAAGAGATTTAGACTCAACAAGACAGAAAATTAATAAGGATATCCAGGACTTGAACTCAGATCCGAAACAAGTCAACTCAATAAATATTTATAGAGCTCTCCATTTTAAATACACAAAATATACATTCTCCACCTTAAATACACAAAATATTGATCGGCCATTATTAATACCCATTTTTAGAATAAAGCTACATTCCCATTTTTTCTCCCTCTTTTTCTTCCTCTTTCTTCCTCTCCTTCACTCCTTTTTTTCTTTCTTTCTAAAAAAAAAAAAAAAAAATTAAACCACTCAATGCTGAGGAAGATGCTCTTCCCAAATAATAGGTCTCCATGTCTACCTCTTCTTACTCATCCTCGGTGCTGAAATATCACCACCTAACTATACAACTTGTGGCATTTCTCTGAAAAAAAAAAAAAAAGAAAGAAATCAGCAAACATTACCAAACACTAAAAATTCTCTCTACCCATTTCCCTGATAAATCACATTTATCAGCACATCACTGCCTCTCTTCCCTAGCTCTGGGGCTACACAGAGGATCTGGAAATAGTGACTCACAGTAGCAATGAAGCTGTCTGGTGTGTAGTTCTTGGCTTTTAAAATACCATTCTACACACACACACACACACACACACACACACACAAAGAGGTTTTTCAGGATGCAGGTTAAGGGAGAGGAGGGAGGAGTGCAGGTGGGAGATTGCCCGTAGTTTAAGAATAGTGGAGGAGACAAAGAAAATGACTGCATGACTAAGCAGCTTAGCAGGTGTCCCAGACTAAACTTTGGTCTGAACCTGGGGTGAATCAGTCAAAGGGGTTGTCCCCCTTTGATTCATCACCTATGAGTACCAGTGACCAGAATAGATGTCTCCACAATGATCAGTTTGTCTTCCCAGTTCTGTGACTTAATAGGATTTTTTCCAATCATGAACCTCACAGAAAGTCCTGTCTTTCTTGTCTCCGTTGAAAGGAAGAGAAAAATGAAACTGATAGAAGGAAGCTGATAGGTAGTGAAAAGGGCTAAGGAGAAGGGTTGAGGCAAATTGCTTACCTGATTTGAGGATGGTGAGTGGGTCTGTGGTCTGGTCTGATGAACCCAGGTCATCTCTTCATGGAGGCAGCACAAGCAGAACAGGGCCAGGGAGTTTGGTCTCCCGTAGGGGTTTCCCCGTCCTGGGTTTCAGCACCAAATGTTAAAATGTGGGCTGAACAAAGAGACCCCTCCAAACATGCTTCGTGTGATCAACATGGCTGTTCATTCACCCGGGTGTGGGCAGGCTGAGTCTGAAAAGAGTCAGTGGAGGGCACAGTGATAGGTGTTGGTTTTACAGGTTTGGGGTAAACAATGGAAAGTTACAGAAGTAACTTTAGGGTGGTGTTTTGCAAGCTGGGAGAAGGTTGTAAGTTTGCAAGCTGGGAAGGGGTCATAGGGTGTGGAGTCATGATCAATTGGGAGAGGAATAAGAAACAGTAGAGAATATGTAGACATTAGTTGATCATTTCTTCCTCTTTTCACAGTCTTCCAGTTACTCTAGATTTTCCAGGAACTCATCTGGAGTGTCCATGCAGGTCACAGAGGTTAACATAGTGTCCATGGGGTAGTCAGTTGGTCTAAAAGACCTTACAGCTGAGCCAGCTAATCCAGGAATTATACTTCTGGACTTCCAAGAACCACTACCTTGAGTTTTAGTATGGATCTCAAAGAGGTGGGAAATATCTTGGGTATAGAACAGTAGCACATCCCTTTTGCAGGATAGCTACTATGGATGGAAGATCTTTAGAAACTTGGATTTTAAGAGAGATTTTGAACTATGCAAATATCATTAACCACTCAGTGCCAAATATTCTATATCTTTTAGGGGAGGCAAAGCCAAGTAAGGAAATCCTTTCATGTCCACTTCTGATTAGAGGGCTTCTTTTAGTTTTTCTTAAACTTTACCTGGTGGAAAATAACATTAATTTTAGGTAAATTAAAACTTCACATATCTCAAATGAAGCCTTGAGATTTTTTGTTTAGTATTAATAATTCCACGGTTTATCATTTAAAAGTCTCTAGGCATAGACAAATAGAATTCCACAGTTACAGGTATCAACTTACTGCACACTGACAATCAAATTTTTAAAATTTTGAAATCCTATGTATTCTTAGGCAAATGCAGACCACAGGAAAACCACACTTGTCTTTCACTGTTTTTTTTGTCTGAAGTTAGGGAATAAACAACTGCTATAGATTGATTTATTAAAGGATATTTTATTTCTATCCATCGAAACATTTATGTAAGAAGTGAATATCTTAAAATAATAAAAGACTTAGCTTCATAAAATATATATTATAAAGGTACTTCACACATTTGTTTTAATAATGCTTCAAATACACTTAAATTTGTCTATTTCAAAGTAGTTATTTTGGCTTTGGTAGTAAGGATTTGAGGTAATATATATGTGATTTTTAATGTAAACATTATTTTTTCGAAAAGTTTTGAAAAAGTATGCTAACTTAATTTTCTTGGACCCTGTAAAATACACAAGAATCTATCCACTCTTAGTAATATTTTCTCCTGCTAGACTTCTTTATTTTCTTTTTTTCCTACAAACATAGAAAGACAAATGCAGTGTCTAGTCAAATGCAACACTCCTTCGGATTTATTAGAAAAGCAAATAAAAGAGAATAGGAAAATGCAGCAATATATACTGTTTCATTACTCTATTTCATTTAGGTTTTTCAACTTGTACAGAACTTTCATAACTAGCATACAATAAAAAGGGAGTTAGCTTTTTTGCAATAATAAAAATATTTGGCTCTAAAACATCTATTTTGAGCATTCTCTTAATAAGAGCATGTGACATTTACTGACAGTAAACGTATGCACAGATGTCAAGTTTTATGAAATACTTTTAATAAATGCAGGAGGAAGAAGAAGTTCAGTAAGATTAGCAAATGCCTAATGAAGCTCACTTATGAAATTACATTGATTTTCACCTATCTTGGGTGTTCTCATGAGACTTTTTCACATGAAATATTTGAGATCTGAAACAAGATAAGAAAAATTTAACTGTATATCTTCCTCAATACCAATTTAATTCTAGGAAAACCATTCATAGCTATTAACTTATTGACAATTAACTGACAATTAAGTTATATAAAATAAATCCATGAAATAAATTTTTTATTAACAAATAAAATTTGTAAGCACTCTTATAGGGTTTCACACATTTTATCAATCATACAATTAACATTTAATTTTGGGGTAAACAGAGAATGATTAGAATTGCCTAAGAAACCAAAAGACAGTCAAAGTTTCTCTGAGATAAATTTCAATGATATTCTGAAAATATTTTACATAGCCAAAACTGTTTAATACATATTTATTTTGCAAACTTTCTAATATTTTTTTCTAATGTTTTTAGAGTATCTTCTCTTGCTGACTGAGGTATCTACTTCTGGACATGAATTGCTACATTTTTGAATGTAGGTACAAATTGTTCTTGGAGCAATTACAAATCATTAGATGAAATTTAACTTATATATGTTTGTCTTCATATTTCTTTTATACTTGCTTAGTTATAGAAAAGAAAATTTATATCTGAACATAAAAGTACAATTAAAGTTAGGGTTCAGTTAATGATTTTTAATTGCTCCAAGAATATTTTGTATCTACATTCAAGAATGTAACTTCTTAGGATAAATGTCCAAATTTATATTTTAAAATTTTGGAATTGATATTATTATCAGAGCAACCTGTACATCAGAGAACAAAAATTGCATGACCACAGAAATATTTTATAATGGCTATAAAAATTACATATTATGGACACCTTATAAAATAAAATTTGACTTATTAAAATTACTTCTTTCTTTGGATCCCATATTCAATTTCATATCAAGAAGTGCCTTTAATTTGGAACTGAGAATAAGAAGACTAGTCACAATATTTTTTTTAGAGCCACTCATTTTTAAAAATAGTTAACTAGTTAATCGATGTTGTGGTGTTTTTTTTTTTTTTTTTCTGGATGAGAAATTTCCATACTCTTATTGTTTATAGATTTATAGAGTTTGCCACAAATGACTATGAAAATACTATTTAAATATACAGTTTCTTTTTAGATTAATAAAATATGCTATCCTATTAAAATGTTATACCTTTAAAATGATTTATGAATGTGTGTATTCATTTATTCAGCATTCCACAAATCTTTGGTAAGTGTTGCTGTCATAGATTTCAATTTTGTAACATATACATTCTAGTCCCTATTTCTGACTGTCTGTTTTCTTAAAGTAACTATAAATTTAGACTGAGTCTTAAGTTTTAATACAGATGGTAATTCAACTTTGGGCATATTCAAGGTGCTAATCTCTGTATATGAGAGTTGCAGCCTAATGCCATCAGGGCTAGTTGTCCAGATGCTTGGAAATGACAGGTGACAGCCACAGGTATGGCAGGCCTATTTCAAATTCAAGAGTGAATGCTTTTGCCAAAGTATTTATATCTTTTAAATGTTACTAGTAAACCATATTGAGCAAACAAAATATATCTGTGAGCCTAACCCATAAACCTCAGGGTTGCAATTCTTTCATGGAAATCTTCTCATGTAATCTTTGTAAAGTCTCTGCCCCTCACGTTTGCTGTGAGCTTGTTCTGGTCTTTATCTTTCCAATAATCCTAGAAGTTGTAGGAACCTCATAACAAATCCACATGGGCAGAGGTCCAAGGACTGAGCTCTGAAGGATCCTGAAAGGAAACAATGCTGGGAACACTGCTCTGAGGAGTACAATAGGGTAAAAGAGAAATGAGCTTATTCACCAAACTGATGACCACACTAAGAATACTTAAAAGTCCTTTTCAAACTACGCAGGTAGAGGGAATACAATGATCTGACACCAAAGGAAATATTTTCTAAGAACATAATTCTTCCCAAGATTTTGAAGAAAATATTTAATTCATACTTCTACAATGTAAATTCATCTTTCACTGATCTCTGTAGCTCTCCCAAATGCTCTTCCATAGCACAAAAAGTAACATCAGTTTTCAAATACAAGGTGCAAGAAAGTGTACAGCACAGTCTTGAAAGGGGCAATATACACATGCATATAAAAGAAAATTAGCAAACACAACCTTGATTGTTAGAGAACATAGACGTTATACCAGACAAGGAGAATTTAGGGAAGTCTCATATTTATAGTACCCTTACCTATACACGATGAAGTTTACCTCCATAAACAAAAACATTAGCAGATGCTGCTATCATTCCGCATGCAATAAACGCCTACTTATTCAGCTATGGATGTTATGCTACTAAAAGGCACATTTATTTCTTGACACATGTCTTTGCTAATGTCCTAAATTTGGGTTCCAGGTGATCTAGAAACTCTAGTCCCTCTTCTTCCTGACGATCGCTGCAGCAGCCTACTGAGCCGGCCAGGGAACCTTTGCCTTCATAGTTATACGAACGAACGTAGTCTTCACAATGTTTATGCTCCTCATCTTGTCCACACAAATACACCTTCTGTATCAAGAAAGAGCACATTTTATTATTTTTTTAAAAACACCTAAATATATTAGCAGAAAAATGATGTCTTTGATTTACCTTTTACTGTTTAATTTTTAATCAGAGTGTGTCCTCTAATGGATTCCTATATATAAAAAATGCACAGGATTGGTCTGTATTATATTCACTCTTAAAATATAGCAAATAAATAAATGCTTCTAGTGAGTACATTTATAAAAATTAAGACTACACATATAACACAACTAATTTATTATTTCCCATTTGAACATAAGACATGTATATTTGAAATTTTCCTTTGTAGCTTCTTCACATATTTGAGGAAAACCAATATAGGCTATGATTCTTATGTGTGTACACTACTATATAACTGTAATCGTGTAATATATTAAACTGGCTAATATCAAACCTATACTGATTAATTTAAACATAAAACAAAACAAGGAACTAAAACTCAAAAGCTCAACAATGTATCTGGTTGATTTTGATAGCCAGGACTTCATAACCACACAAAGAACTCAAGTACACTGAGAAATGTTTATAATTTATGATCCATTCATTCATCTAGAATAAATATTTTGTTCCAGGTGGTTTTTCTGTTAATTTTTGGGGAAGAGGCTATCAAACTTTTATCCTTTGTAAACACATCTACATATGACACTCCTAGATAAAGTTTTGTGAACTGTATTTTAAAAGGTGAATTTTCAAGGATAATTTTTCTCTTTGGGTTTAAACCAAACATTCACATCTATGATAATTCAACATTTAAAAGATGTTGAATTTCAGGCATATGAGGAGTAAAGCTTTTGGGAAATTCTGATTTAAAACCAGCATTTAACTTCCATTTAATATGACTTTGAAGACAGTGGAACTTACTTCACCAAGTCGAGGTTGGGTGAAACTCTGCCAGTCTGTGTACGTGTATCTGCCGGTATCTCCCTGCCCCACTCCCTTGATGGACTCCAAAGTCTGATGTCCTCCTCCTTTGTTGGAGTCCAAAGTGTAACCTCCTTTGACCATCTCAAAACTTTGCTGTGTTTTGATTCCCTGGCCACCAACAGTACCAGCAGACATGCTTGTGTCACAAATGTTGGAGGTCTGTATGGGGAGTCTAATATTTGCTTCCTAAAAGAAAAGTTAAATTGATAAGTGAATTTGAAAAATGGAAACTAACAGTTTGTTTTAATTTTTTTTCCACCATAGGCAAATCACTTGCCTGCTGTGCCTCTCTGTTCCTTATACGTAAAATCAGAAGAATAGTATCATCGGTGTGATGGGTTGAATTGAGTCCCCTAAAAATTCATATGTTCTAACCCTCAGTAACTCAGAATGTGAACTTATTTGGAAATAGGGTCATTGTACATGTAATTAGTTAAGATGAGCTTATATGGGATTAGGGTGCGCCCCTAAGCTAATTTGACCAATATCCTTATAAAAAGGGGAAATTTGGACACAGACATGCACACAGGGAGAATGCCATGTGAAGATTTGATTTACGCTGCCGTAAGCCAGGGAATTGCCAGAAGCTAGGAGACAACACCGGAATATCCCTCTGCAGTTCCTTCAGAGGGAGCACGAACCTGCCAACACCTTGATCTCTGATTTCTAGTCTCCAGATCTGTGAAACAATACTTTTCTATTGTTTAAGTCACTCAGTTTGTTGTGACAGCCCTAGCCCTGTAGAATTGGGAGGTTTCAATGATTTAAAACATTGAAGCCACCTGAAATTCTGCTTAGCTTAGTAAATGCTCAATAAACACGAATGATACTGTCATTGACATTGTTGTGTTATAATCTGTCATTATTGATTCACCATACAATTCAAAGGGATGTGAATCTGATTTACCGTTACTTCTTCTCCAGGTCCTTCAGTATTTGATACAATTAAATTTTGCTGAGCTATGTCTTCTGGAAAACATTTCTTGACTGTTCTCTTAGCAGTGACACAGAAACATGTAAACAGAACACCTAAAAAAAAAAAAAAGTAAAACACATACATTAAATCATTTGATTACACAATTTTTTAAAGTTTTCTTGCATATGTTTTTAAAAATTCATTCCACAAATTGAGCTCTCTGGGTCACAAGATTTAAAAACAGAACATGCTAAAACTTGTAGCTTAGAAAGATTAATAATAGCTCTCTTCCCATGTCAAAAATTAACTTATATGTATCTTTTATTTCCTCAACATTGAAATGGTAACTTTATCTAACTGAAATTTAAGATAGCATCATTAGTAGTTACAATTATACAGAACACACTTAGAATAACAAAAAAATGAACATGAGGCATAAATACAAACAAGAAAGGCAATTACACAAAATAGATGTCCAGTTTTGAAAGTGTGTGCCAACTAATACAGTGCTAAGGGAAATATTCAGTTTAATCTGAAACTCCAATCAATGAATTAGGATACAGTAAAGATTGCAGATTACTTTATATGCAAATGGGTTCTTTGGAGTCAGAGAGAAACAGAGAAAGAAAAAGAAAAGGAAAGAAAGAAAGAGTGAAAAGGCAGGCTTAAACGTGGGCAATGTTTCTATTACTTTCACACCTCCAGAGAACAGTTTGCAGAATGCAAAATCTTAGCATCTTTGCATGTATTACATTTCCTCAGTGCCTCATAAGACCATTTTCCACTCATGGAAGTCTTATGATGATGATAAATCACTTTATTATGAAACAAAAATATCTGAGCAAATTTTGGAATACCTCCGTTTTCACAAATTATTTTTGTATGTATGTATTCCCTAAATAAACTTGGCTGGTTGAAAGACTATATTATTTTGTATGGGGAGAATCTCAATACTTTTATCCAGCCTCTTCATTTTACATACAGAAAAATGAGTTCAAGAAAGAGGAAATAATTTACCTAATGTCTCACAGATAATTATTGAAGAACTAAGGCTGCCACCTCTGAAACTTACTTTAAATTTAATCTGCTGTTACTAATGTGTTTCTTCTATCACTCAGAGCCCCAAGACATAAAATAGATACATTATTTTTAAAAGAACACATTTGCCAAAGGCTATTTATTAATATAAAAAACTTCCATGTTTAAAAAATATTAGATAAAAATTTAGCTAATGTATTCTAGATAATGATACTTAATATACTTACATAATAACAATACAGAACCCAACACCATAGCAAGGATAGCCCATCTTCCAAGTATTACATTTGGTCTAACGTCTCTTAGATTTTTAGCAGGCAGGTTACACTCAGATGAAACTGAACAGTCACATACTCTCACTGATAACACATGTGTTGCAACTAAACCATGTCTGTCTTTTATCTTGATAGGCACAAAATAATTGTTATAATCTAGATTTTGTCGTTGACGAAGAATGGCAGTTTTACCTAGGGGAAAACAACAGAGAAAATATATACAGATAGGATGTTTAGATACCAATATTATTCTACTTGATATTCTCAGTGGGCAGGAATCATTTTAGAATAAAAACTCTAGTTTTTCATTCTTAAAAAAAAATTTTGATTTCCCGGAAGAGCCAGAAAAATAATTGATGTCGCTTTATGCTGATATTAGACTAAACTACACTTACCATATTACTCAAATGTTAATTTAAATGGGACTTATATGGTTTCTTAAAAGATATTCAGAACAAGAGTCTAAGCCTACCATAATGACATTAATTTGTTTTTTTAAAAAAAAAACAAAAAACAAGGTATTGTTTTTATGTATTTATTATGATAAACTAAGATGAAAGGACCATCACCCATCTGAAGTCCCTATCGATTATAAAATTTAGCATAATTACATACCATCCTTTTCTTCTAGAACCCAGATTTTGCTGGCAGAATTATCCAGAAGGAATTGAAAAGGTGGCCCATTTTCAGGCCCATCTGGATCTACAGGTGCCAGAACAGCAAAATCCTCATTATTCTGACAAATGGTCACTTCTTTATTAATTTGTGGCGGATGATCATTTTTATCAGTCAAAGAAACTACTAATGTTCCAGTGCAAGATCTGCCAACTAAGACAAATTAAAAATGGTTATTGCTTCACATGAAAATGCATTTATATTAAACAATTTATGAAATACACAGCTGACATCTGCTTTCTACTAGCTGTCTGAGCTTGAGTTCACACACATGCTTCCCGGATTTCAGACACCAAGACTACAAAATAGGGACATGTCACTGTTTCTTGAAGACCGGGGCTGGATCAGATAATTTCTTCAGGTGCTTTTCAAAACGAAAGGGTATGGGATTATGAGGAAGGTCACCAAAAAATAACCTGTTGAAAGTAAAATTGATGTCTTACATCCTTCTTTGGGAGGAGCATCTATTCATCCTTGGAATACAAACACTTTTCATCTGATTATCAGTCACTTTCTCAGCTTCTCCGTCACATCATATACTTTTTGCCCAAACCTTGAAAACTTCTCTAGAAACTCACTAGATAATGTTCTTCTTCCTGTCTGCTTTGTAGCATTCAGTTGCCACTCTTAGGAATACTTTTCTCCTCTTCTCTGCCAGGTAAAACACAATTATCTTCAAGAATCTACTCAAATGTCACCTCCTCATGAAATCTGTGACTTCCACAGACAATGGTAGCCTTATTCCAGTATTTTCTCAGAACTCTTTGCTAATACCTTGGCTCACACACTAAACTGCAAACATGTTAACAACATAGTAAGTTGTATTCACCTTGACAGCCTAGGGATTTGCCCAGTATTTCCCAGCTCACTGTAACTTTATCCTAACACACTGAACATAATGCAGTTCTTAGTTTTATACTTGAAAACATTTAATTGAATATGCCAGAAAAGTAAATTTTCATCTCCGCCCTAATGCAATTCATATGTTCTTGACAATAGGAACTGTCTTGTACACATCTGTTGATTGCCACTAAGACTTCACACACAGTATTTTTAGTGAAAATAGTGCCTATTATTTGTGCTTAAGAGATAATGAAGTTCAGAAACATGTCAAATTCCGCCATATGTAAAAGAATAATAAACTACAATAAATGATAAGATATCAAAATTGAAATAAACAGAAGGATAATTGATGCAGTTTTTCGTATTTTTGTTGTAAATACTGGTCCACACTTTGAAACATGTATGTTGAATTTCTCATGAAGATTACTATAACTCCTATGCAAATATAATTCATTTTGCTTTTTAGTTTTAAATAACCCTAAGTCATATCATGTAGTGTATTTCAGGAAAATTGTTTTCTGTTGAATAACTACATAATCAATTTATTCAGTGACTTAAACATTGTTTATATAAAGTAATTACTATTTATGCCTACTTTAAAACTATCTGAACAAGTTTAAAAATATTTAGAAATAAAAGAGAGATGTAGCTATTAGAAGAATGTGCAATAGCATATAAATACTTTAAGACTGCCAGAAACTAGCAAATAAAGTTGAATATAAGTAACAACTTTAAAATCAACAAACTAACAAAGAAATGAATAATGTGGAAAAGAGGTCTTTATAAAGTAAAAAATTTAGGTACATACACTACACGAGTTGATGTATAATTTCACCTTTTAAAATTGAAGCAGAAAACCTTTCTCTTTATGGAAAAATGGTGAGAAACCACACTTTAAAAATCCAATAAAAATGTGGTAATTATAGGAATGAAAATTAAGCATCATTTAATCACATATTCAACCAACATTTATCACATAACTTATTATTTTCTATTCCAGTCTCTGTTTTAAGCATGTTGATAAAAACAGAATGAAAGAAGTCTGAAATTATTTACATGGAAGGCAACCAAAGCCAAAGCTGAGAAGGTCTTAGAACAGGGGTGCCCAATCTTTTGGCTTCCCTGGGCCACACTGAAAAAAGAAGAATCGTCTTGGGCCACATATAAAATACACGACCACCAATGACAATTGATGAGCTAAAAAAAGATATATTGCAAGTAAATCTCATAATGTTTTAAGAATGTTTATGAATTTCTGTTGGGCCACATTCAAAGCACTGCTGCCCTGTGTGCTGCCTGCAGGCCACAGGTTGGACAAACTTGTCTTAGAAGACATCAAAAATTATAAGAGGTTGACGGTAAGCTTTTATTTTACCCCGGGAAGAGGTAAACAGCCAAAAATAAGCAAATACTGATAATGGCTGAGCATGGTGAAAGATCATTGGGTATGTTTATCTACTTCTAAACCTTACTTTACGTTAAGCACATAAGCAAATGTCGAGTGTAAATGAGTAAGAAACATCGCAATCACAGAGCTAGAAAGTACATGTTGGATTAAACAAAAATCTTCATAACACGTCAACAGCAATTCTGAAAAGCAGTAGTTTTTTTTACTGCTACTCAAATGTTTTAATCACTAGAATCACTGCATTATAAATCAGCCTACTCCATAAAATTTAAAATTAATGGTTAAAATATTAAATTTTTTCTATTAAGCTACAGTATGCCTCCTAATAATTTCCTACAATTTGTTCATGTTCTTTTTAGACAATTTGTTCATGTTCTTACATGCAAAATGTTTACCACTTTTTACCAAAATGTCTACATGACAACTTAGTATATTTGTTCTCTTAAGAAAATCCTTTTTACAGAAGCAAAATATAAAGGAGCATTTAGTAAATGTTTGATCTCAATTTTCTACATTAAAACCAGTTTTTCCAAGTGCTAACTATGCACCTAGAATTGCAAAGCTCTTTGTAGTAAAATTTATAAACTGAAGATTCATAGGATTCTCAAAAAAAAAAAAGGAATGACAAATAGCACCTGCATTGTGCATATTTGTACCAAATTTTCTGCCAGACCCTTGAAAACAGACAGTTTACCAAAGAAAAAGGGTCCTTATGCAAAACTGAACTCATAATTAATCTAGTTAGGGGAACAGAACATACATGAGAAACAATGAAAGCAGCCTTTTCTACAGAAGTCACACCATATGTGATAATTGTTATTCTCAGTTCAAAAGGTATTTAGAGAAGAACTGAATCAAGACTAACGGAAACAATCACAAAAGTTGTCATTGCCATTTATTTGAAGAAATTAAGGGAGCTGAATTTCAGACAGGAGGAGCAATGCTACGCTAGATGGAAGGTATGTAAAACAGTGTTGTCTAGACTGACAGCAGGGACCTCAGCCTGACACAAGAAAGGAAGTTGGAGTCTAAGAAAGCTAGAAGAATACCTAGATCATCATCCAGAAATATTCATGAGCATCAGAGCAAAATGTGTGTATGTGTGTGTGTGTGTGTGTCTTAAAGTTCAAAGAAACAAAATCCTTCAAATCACTGTACAGTTTTTCATTAAAGTTTGTAATGGCCTTATCTTTACTTTTTCTTAAGCACACCCCAGTTACCGACAGCTCTGGAACATAGATTTGTTCAAGTTTGCCATTTATTTTCTTACACTATGATCACTGTGCTTACAGATGTGGTCTTTTAGCCCCAAAAGACAAAGTTAATTTTTAAATATTTCATTCTCCATAATTTTCTCCTCTCTAAATAGTATTTTATTTTTAAAAAATTAGGCCTCTGCATGTCTGTAATCTCTTCTCTTTCATCCTTTAACCTGAACAGCTCTTAACTGATCTCCACTTCTGATAATATCCATACATTCTTTATGAGGAAAGTTTTCACACCGTAGAATCTCTTGTGAAAATATAATACTTCCATAATTGGTATCACGGAAGAATTTGGTCTTATCTTAACATTCTTAATTTCCATGGCAACATGTCTAATACTTTGACAAACCAACAGTTGGGAAATAAATGAGTAAATATAAGCTCTCCTTTGCCATCATAGAAAAAAGTAGGGGTATAATATTTGAGAACACATTGTTTGCATTTTGTTATAAAAAATCAAAAGAACAAATAAACAAGCACGAACATTTTCATACTGTCAACCTGTGTTAATTACCATGAAAATGGATATGCATTTATTAATACATTCACCCATTTCTTCTAAAGAAATGCAGTAGATGTAGAAAAAGAAACATTCAGCATTGCTGTATCAGCTAGTTTGTTTTGAACATCCAGCATATGCAGATAAAAAGAGTGGAAACTTTCTTGGATTAGGCAGGGAGTCAAAATAATAGGCTGTGTTATACAAGCCCAAGTCCATTTATCTTTATTATTTATGGCAATTTGCCAACATTTATGGTAAATTTGTCGTCAATGTAATAAAATGAAATAGTGTAACTTATACTTACATTCTTATCATCCTCTTTTAATATCTTTTGTGTATTTTATAATGTATACGTTACCATAGTAGTACATATATATAAATACATATGGTAGCAAACATTTAAAAACATTTATAAATATATATTCAAACATACTAACAAGTGGCTTACTGACAGAAATTTGTATGTTCAAAAGAATTTCCAGGTCAGGACTTCACTATATTTGGAGGACATTCTTTACAGAATCCATTTCAAAATTGATCTTGGTAAAAGACTGCAAACCACCACAAAAGACTTAAGTCATTATTTGACTATTCCTTCATAAAAAAGGATAAATGATTTGTTCTCCATTAAGAGAAGCTCAGAAAAAATCTTAGTTTGAACGCAACTGTTTGAGGTGTGTTGAACCCTATCAGCAAGTTCAAATCATAATGTATCTAAACCTGTACTTCTGAAAAAAAAAAAAGGTGATCCTAGTATGCCACCACTGCCTTAGCAGAAATTAATAATATAGATTGTCTTTGAAACCTTAGACATTAATTTTAATTGTGTTGTAATTACATTTGAATTTACTATGATGTAATTAAGCCTTAGACTTTGGCCATTCTCTACCTCATAGGTTTGCATCATAGATGCACTGGAGTTTAAACTGGGTGTTTTCCAATAACATCAACAATAATAATTCAAACTTTGTTTGAATTATATTTTGCCTAGAAATAAACAGATTTCACCCCAAGATTTCCTTAAAAACGTATCCTATATTTATATTTTATTTGCAGAAAATGGCACTCACCTGCATCCATTGCAACAACTGAAATATTGTATTGGTTGTTTTTTACGAATTTGGATTCTCTATCTAGTACTTTTACAGTTCTCAAGTCGCCAGTTTCTTCATTAATTTCAAACCAGTTATCTTCATCCCCTAACTTCTTGTACCTAATTTTTAGAAATCAAATATAAATGGTCAAATGAAAAAAGGGACATCATCTTAAAATCTGTCATTTTGAAAAATACATAAAACAGTCCTAACTTTAAAATCAATTTACATCACAATTAAAATTAAGGTGCTTTTTGAAAAGTACATCACCTTAAGCCTTCACCGCTGCGTGTTTCTGGGTCTAATGCTTTGTATCCAAGGAGTTCTTGGCCAGCTGGGAAGCCATCTTCACTCTGGATAACTTTCACTGGAGGGTGGCATTCCGGGCCCTCATCGCGGTCTTTAATTTTGACAGTTACAGTTGTAGTGCACATTGTAGGAGTTTGTGAGTTTGCTGCTTTAGAGAATTGTGCTTCATTAACTACACCAACTTGCAAAATGACTTGCCGATTGACCTCATAGTTCAATGGCTGTTAAATAAGCATACTTTAATAAGTCAACATATAACGTTATATATAAGACTTCTAATTTCAAATTTTTCTGCAAAGGAATATCATTTTTACAAAAAAAATGTAATCTAAAGTTAGGGCTAACACAGTTAAAGACTAATAATTAGCTTCCTAAAGTGACAAACATTGCCAAATGCAAAATTGTTGATTCTCAGATTCAACCCATTTTTCTTGTTTTTCTTTTGGAAGATCTTGCCTTCAGCCTTTTTCATTTTAAGTTTAAATATTAATAGAAATGCAAGACGAGTGTTTGTAAAATATCAAATTATTTCATTGCTTATTACATGGGATAACAGTGACAACTAAAGTGCCTACAAACTAAGTATATAAAATAATTAGATAGAAATTTGGCTATAATAGAGCAGTTACTCTGTGCCTGAGTCAAAAGATAGAATGATATTTAACAGCACTGTTTCAAAGCACATTAGATTTCAGGCTGTTTAGTTCCTGATGAAAGTATTTGACACTTGATATGGTTTGGCTATGTTCTCCACCTAAATCTCAACTTGATTTTTATCTCCCAGAATTCACACCTGTTGTGGGAGGGACCTAGAGAAAGCTAATTGAACCATGGGGGCCAGTCTTTACTGTGCTATTCTCATGATAGTGAATAAGTCCCATGAGATCTAACGGGTTTATCAGAGGTTTCGGCTTTTGTTTCTGCCTCATTTTTCTCTTGCTATTGCCATGTAAGAAGTGCCTTTCACCTCCTGCCATGATTCTGAGGCCTCTCAGCCATGTGGAACTGTGAGTCCAATTAAACCTCTTTTGTTCCCAGTTTGGGATATGTCTTTATCAGCCATGGGAAAACAAACTAATACAGTCCTAAACGGAATAATTAGAAAGAATTCTAAAACAATATTTTAATGGTGAAGAAAAATCGAAGGGGGGAAAACCTAGGAACAAGAAAAGAAAAAAGAAAGAATAGACAGTATAAAAATTAAAGATTATTTTCTAAAAATCTTCTCAGGAGGACACAACATCTGCATAAACCTTCCGAGGACTTACATTGTCTCCAAGAAATTAATGAAGGAACCTATATAAGAAGTTAGAGAGAACTATGAATAGATGGACTAAAAAATAAAAATTAAAGTAATCATCATAGAAACCAGTAATTGCATTTAAATTTTAAAAAATCCAAAGCAATGGCTACCTGGCATATAGGGGGATTAATGGGAAAAACTGCTGAATATTTAGTGAAATTGTTTCTCTTACAGAATACATCATAGAGATGTAAAAATATAATATGAACATGAAAGGAGTTGAAAAGTTGAGGTTTGATTTCAAATAGTGCTTCTTCCATCTTTGTCTTTTCTGTGTTCTTGTGAAATAGAAATTTGGACAACTGAGTGTCTAAGACCCCTTCTAAAGCAACTATCTGGTTCAATATTCTATATTTCTTTGTCTTGGTTTTCTTCATATAGAGAACAATGAGTTTTGCACCTTACATGACTTTCCCCTAAGAGAGAAATTAGGGTAAGAGAATAAGAAAAAAAAGTTTATATAAACAAATATAAATCATTTGGCCTTGCATAGCAGTATTCTAGTCATATACATATAAGAACGATCTCTTAAAATCTTTATTTTTATTTGTTTACCTTGACAACACACAACACTCCTTCATTTGTATTTGGATCTGTGCTAATTTTGAAGTTTCCGTTTTCATTTCCTTGTAGGATTGTGTATACAGCTCTTGAGTGAGCAGTGTTTGGCAAATCCTGATCCTGGACCTTCATTCGCAAAATCTCGACGTCAATTCTGTTTTCTTCTACTTCTGTAACATACTGAAAAAGCTTCCTCTTATTATTACCAATTTACAACTTTAACAATGTGGTTTTATATTCTAAAATACATATTTAAAGAAAAAATAAATAAAGTGATGTGAAAAGGTGCACTCAATATATCGGGAAACATTTTACAAATTTAATGCATAGCTTAGTTCTTTCCTCCTAAATTGCCTTTCCATATCGTTTCCATTCTTCAAAGGTTACCAAAAGTCTTACCTTCTGAACTTCTCTAAGATAATTTTCCTAATCATTCTAGACTTCAGAAAGTGAAATATGAAATATGAGGTCAAATATATCTTCATGCATTGTAGGGATTAATGTAAAATATTATATGAATATGCCTATCACTGTACTTGCAAATTTTTCCTTCCTTGACTTGTACTCTAGTATAGATTAATGAAAAAAATGAAAGGTTATTTATCAAAAGTTCAGGAAAGGAGAACCGTTTCCTGAAACTATCATCATAAAAATATAAATACACATATGTACACACACACACACACACACACGCACGCGCGCGCGTCTCATATTATTTCCTGCCTAAGGAAAAGCTTGCTGATGGTACAGGAAGAGCTTGTTTGGAGTTGTGAGCCAGCCTGTACTATGGTCTCCATAGGCTAGCTCCTTATTCATCTTAAGAAGCTGAAATGTAAAGGACATCAGAGAGAGTGCCTCTTCTCCTTCACCCTATAAAAACAATTTAATGACAAGGAATCTGATACTAGAGCTTAACATCAAAAAAAAAAAATGTTGAACACATGAGCTACATCTAAGGCTAAGAAGCTCTTCGGTAGCCAAGAGCATGGTTATTTTCCTAGCATCCAGAAATAACCGGTAATTCAATGATTTTTACAGAAATCATATTTTTCTCCCTATGTTATTTGTATTAGCCATTTTAATTAAACTGTGTGATCTCACAGAGCTACCGAATTCTAGATATGTGTTTTGAAAAAGTAGATGAATCCAGATGAATGAATAGAGAGGTATACTCACAGAAGTTTCTGTGAAAAATGGTGAATTGTCATTCTCATCCTCAAGTGAAATAGTAATTGTTCCTGTATTAAATAAACCGAAAGGTTGACCACCCATGTCTCGCACTTCCATTATTAACTGGTAAATATCACATTTCTGAAAAAAAGATAAGTACATTGATGAACGCTTTTATTTCCTATAACTTGTAATTCTCAACACTGTTTAGTCATGATTATCATACAAATATTCTTTTTGTATGAAGTTTTATTTTAAAAAATCATAAATACAAGCACAGAATAAGACATGAGCTGATCAGTACAATGGGAAGATTATGTGTTTAATATAACATTTCAAAATGTAAAGCTGCTTTATTTATATTTGCCAAAACTTGAAAGCAACCAATATGTCCTTCAGTAGGTAAATGGATAAATAAATTGGTACATCCAGAGAATGGAATATTACTCAGTGCTAAAAAGAAATGAGCTATCATGACTTAAAAGGACATGAAAAAAAATTAAATTGCATATTACTAAATGAAAGAAGCCAGTCTGAAAAGGCTACATACTATATGATTCTAACTAACATTCCTAAAAACGGCAAAACTATAGCGACAGTAAAAATACCGGTGGTTCCATGAACTTCATATGGAACCAAAAGAGAGCCCACATAGCCAAGTCAATTCTAAGCAAAAAGAACACAGCCGGCAGCATTACACTACCGGATTTCCAACTATACTACAAGGCTGCAGTAATCAAAACAGCATGGTACTAGTACCAAAACAGAGATATAGACCAATGGAACAAAACAGAGGCATCGGAGGTAACACAACATATCTACAACCATACAATCTTTGAAAAACCTGACAAAAACAAGCAATGGGGAAAGGATTCCCTGTTTAATAAACGGTGTTGGGAAAACTGGCTAGCCATATGCAGAAAGCAGAAACTGGACCCCTTCCTGACACCTTACACTAAAATTAACTCCAGATGGATTAAAGACTTAAACATAAGACCTGGCACGATAAAAACCCTAGAAGAAAATCTAGGCAAAACCATCCAGGACATAGGAGTAGGAAGGACTTCATGAACAAAACACCAAAAGCATTGGCAACAAAAGCCAAAATATACAAATGAGACCTAATCAAACTCCACAGCTTCTGCACAGCAAAAGAAACAGGCACTAGAGTGAATCGGCAACCAACAGAATGGGAAAAAATTTTTGCAGTTTACCCACCTGACAAAGGGCTGATATCCAGAATTTACAAAGAACTCAAACAGATTTACAGGAAAAAAAAAACAAACAAGCCCATTCAAAAATGGGCAAAGGATATGAACAGACACTTCACAAAAGAAGACATATATGAGGCCAACAATCATATGAAAAAATGCTCATCATCACTGGTCATTAGAGAGATGCAAATCAAAACCACATTGAGATACCATCTCATGCCAGTTAGAATGGCGATCATTAAAAAATCTGGAGACAACAGATGCTGGAGAGGATGTGGAGAAACAGGAACACTTTTACACTGTTGGTGGGAGTGTAAATTAGTTCAACCATTGTGGAAGACTGTGTGGCGATTCCTCAAGGCCTTAGAAATAGAAATTCCATTTGACCCAGCAATCCCATTACTGGGTATATATCCAAAGGACTACAAATCGTTCTACTATAAGGACACATGCACACGAATGTTCACTGCAGCACTGTTTACAATAGCAAAGACCTGGAACCAACCCAAATGCCCATCGATGATAGACTGGATTCGGAAAATGTGGCACATATACACCACGGAATATTATGCAGCAATCAGAAATGATGAGTTTGTGTCATTTGTAGGGACATGGATGAATCTGGAGAACATCATTCTCAGCAAACTGACACAAGAACAGAAAATGAAACACCACATATTCTCACTCATAGGCAGGTGATGAAAAATGAGAACACATGGACATAGGGAGGGGAGTACTAAACACTGGGGTCTATTGGGGGGAAAAGGGGAGGGCCAGTGTGGGGTGGGGGGAGCTGGGGAGGGATAGCCTGGGGAGAAATGCCAAATGTGGGTGAAGGGGAGAAAGAAAGCAAAGCACCCTGCCATGTGTGTACCTATGCAACTGTCTTGCATGTTCTGCACATGTACCCCAAAACCTAAAATGCAATAAAAAATTTAAAATAAAATACCCGTGGTTGCCAGGAGTTAAGAGGGAAGAAGGCATCAATAGGAGAAACACAATAATCCTCAATAGGAGAATTTTTAGGGTAGTGAAACCACTCTGGATGATACTATTATGATGGATGCATGTCTTTATACATTTGTTCAAACTCATAGACTATATAGCATCAAGAGTGAACCACAAGGTGAAAACGATGGAATTTGGGTAATAATGATGTGTGAATATAAGTTTATGGATTGCATCAAACATACCACTGTGTGGCTGGATGTTGATAGCAGGAAAGTTTAAGTGTGTGGGAGTGGCGGATAGGGAGTGGATGGGAACCATCTGTACTTTCTACTAAATTTTGCTGTGAACCCAAAGCTGCTATAATGAAGTCTATTAATTTTAAAAGTTAAGCATATTGGAGTCAGATAAAATATTTTTTAAAAACAAAAATAAAATAAATGTAGAACAACTTAATCATCAACAGATCAAATCAGGTTAACGATCTCAAGCGAGACCCTGTCTAATGTATGGTACTTTCCCAACAGCTCTGTAAAGGACAGAGGACATCTCCAGAGACGCCCTAACCACAGCCTACAGAAGCATGCTGAGAAAGAAGGCCAGAGAGGCCATATTGCAACTTCTCTTGGGAGTTCTAAGTCTAAATGTACTTTAATGACTGGAAAGTTAATTAATCATCATTACTTCTCTATCCAGTAAAGGTGTAGTTGTGGTGATGACACCGGTGTCTGGATGTACGGAGAAATGCTTTGGATGATCTGGGATTTGTTGTAAGATTTTATATTTCAGACGAGTATGGAGAGTGTCAGGTTCGTCAAGGTCTATGGCAGTCACTTGTCCCACTGAAGTTCCTGTTTAGATAAATTCAAAACTGTCAAAAATTTCTACTTATATAATTGAAATATAAACAAAATAAAATCAAGGCATTGCTGTAGCAAATTCTCCCCCAGTTGAGAAATGTGAAACTGTTCTCGAAAATGTCTTCAAGTTTCCCTTACTCGGGAACTTCAATTAGGTGGCTCCTGTGAATAACCTGATTTGTATTCTATATATGTGAAAACAGTTCCCACACTACCTTTAGAAACAGTAGTTCTGAAATTCTTTCTCTCTATGTTCATGGACTATTTTTAAATTAAATGTAATTTAATTTTAGATTTGAGGGTACACATGCAGGCTTATCTGTTAAAAAATATTCCTTGGCACCATAAAATAGACATTCCTGTAAATATTGTTAAATCACTCTTTTTTGAGTATTTTCCTTGCTTAGAAGAAAAGGTTGAATTTTTCCTACATTTAGGCTTCTCCATATTCATAGATAAATGACAATTTAAAAAAAAAAACACTGAATGAATGATGAAAAAAATAACATCTTATTTTGCTGGAAAAAAAAAGTGATCCCTGGTTCACTCATAACTCCCCTGTAATATTCTGTATGAATTTCTGGGTATAGTCCATTTTACACCAAACAATGACTTTTCCCAATGACAAAACTGAGCAACAATTCCTTCACTCCAGACTTTCTAAGCATGTATTTGTAAACCAAACATCAGCTTCAGCAACAACTCCACCTTGGGGAGAACGGACTCAAATAAATGCTGCCAGAATTATAAAATCATGATATAAAAGGGAAAATGTATAATATTTTATCTTATGAATATGCTTAAATTTAAGAAAATTTGCTCAGTCATTTGCGACCCTTAACAGCAATGTCATATAACATCAATTCCTAATGGGAAAAAAATGTGTGTGTAATCAGAAATACCAGAAAAAGGATAAAATGCAATGATTAAAGGTAAACATCTTTAATACTTATGAAGTGTCAAATAATCTTCCTCATACTACTATAAAATGTGAACTTACCAGTTCGGCAATTTTCAGGTACAGTAAAGACAGTCAGTTTGTTTTCAAAATATGGGGCATTATCATTATCATCTTCAATTTTGATGATCAAGGGGAGTGGATATTCTGGGGCATAGCCATCTGCGGTTGTTGCATAGCCATATAGCTGAAAGAAAGAAAAGTACTATCAATGTACTCGCAAATGACAAATTATGCACAAAAGTAAGCCTAGCAGTGGGGGGAAATGTAACTAAAAAACAATTATGCCCAAAGATCCGTAACTAAGAAGTGATGCAGTGGAGAGATAACACACAGATGCAGTCTCTCTGCCTGCCATGTGGTTTCAATCCCCTCTTGGCGCTATTTCTCATTATTCCCACAATCTAAGCACCATGTACTCCAGGTGTTCCCTGAATTAACTGTACATGGTTTCACTTGTTAGAGTGCATGTAGATTTCCCCCAGTTATTTTATTAACAAGTATTTTTAAAGTTCCTAAAAATACAATTCTATTTATGTCTATATTTTATATATATATGCAAATAAAAAGACATCACAACTTCTTCAGAATAATTCAGTTCTAAGTACTTTACCTATATTTTCTCATTTTTCTGTTGTAAGCATGTATTTCTTCACAATAAAAATGTTAATAGAAGCATATACATATGAGAAACTCCATTTCAAAATGAACACTTTGTTCTCAACAGCCAGTATTTAATCACCTTTCCCTTTAAACTCCAAATTATTCCTGCACTTTGCTCATGTGGTTTGTGCATAGTAAGTTTCAGTAAATAGTTGTTGAATGGATTTTCATCACTTATGGGACCAGCTAAACCTACTTAAAGTAAATTCTGTATTAATACAGTACTTACCACACAACTCTTCTAATTTTCTCTACTGTAACCATTTCTAAATGAAATAGGATTAAAATTCCAGGAATTAAACTCTTCTCTCTCTCTCATGAGCCTTAACAGTCAGTTGCTGAGTTCTAGAGATTATGGCATTTGTGTGTCTCTCACGCATGTTCTCTTTTCTGTTCTCACTGCTATCATCTTCATGTGACTCCAAATGCATTCTACCTGTTGACTCACCAACTTTGCTGCAGTTGTTCTGATATTCCCTGTGCCTATCTATGTAGCCTCAGAAGTCTAATTTTATTTTCATAAAGCACAATTTCAACTATGATACTCCTTAATCAGACTTGTCTATGACTTACCCACTAGCTGCTAAAGTAACCACAAAATCCTAATTATTGTGTTAAAAGGTGATATTTCATGTTCGCTGATCATGCTAACCTGGAAAGGAAAGAATTTACACTCCAAACTCAGGGATAGAGTGTATTAAAATAATCATCTATGTTCTCTCTGCCCTCTTACTCACTTTTTCCCCAAATAACTTCCAGGTGGTATTTTTAGTAATAAAACTTATATTATAACTTCCATCAGTCTATATCTTTTTTATCATTAATTCTATATCTTTTTTATCATTAATTCTAAATTCAGGGGAGGAATACAGTAATATATCATTACCACCTCACCATATCATCACCACCACCACCATCATCACCACTACCACCAGCATCACCAACACCACCATTACTACCACCCCCACAAGCACCACCATCATCACCACACTACCATCACCACCATGATCATCATGATCATCATTACTATCACTGCCACCACCACCACCACCACCATCATCATCATCAATACTATTACCATCACCACTACCACCACCACTACCATCATTACTACCACCATCAGAAGCAGCAACATCATCACACTACCATTACCACCTCACCACCATCATCATTACCACCACTACCACTACCACCACCATCACCACCATCATCATCACCATACTACCATCACCACCACCACCATCATCACCACACTACCATCACTACCATCCCCACTGTTATCATGATCATCACCACTACCACCACCACCGTCATCACTACTATTACCATCACCACCACTACCACCATCACCACCATCACTGTCTCTGTTATTACCATCACCACCACCACCACTACTGCCATCATTACCACCATCAGCAGCAGCAGCAACACCATCACCACACTACCATCACTACCATCATCATTATCACTACTACCACCACCACCATCATCATCACCACCACTACCACTATTACCATCACTATCATCACCACCACCATCACCACTACCACTATTACCATCACTATCATCACCACCAACATCATCATCACAACACTACCATCACCACCATTATCATCATTATCATCACCACTACCACTACCACCACCATCACCACCAACATCATCATCACCATGCTACCATCACTACCATCACCACAATCATCATTATCACCACTACCACTGCCACTGCCACCATCACCACCACCACCACCATCATCACTACTACCACTATCACCTTACCACCATTACCATTACCACCACATCAACATAACCACCACCGCCATCATCACCACCACCACCATCACCACTACCATCATCAGCACTACTACCACTATTACTATTATCACCACCATCATCATCATCACAACCAGCACATCCAGATGTCAACACTACTCACCCTTCCTAACAATCCTTCCCTTTCTCTTCATATAGATGATGTGAATTTTTATTCCTTATAATGCTGCCATTTTGAGATATTGGCTGGAGAAAACTATAAAGTTGTAACTTATTTTAAACTATAAACTATTCTCTCCTTTTTCCTCTGGCAATGATCACAGTAAGAAGCAAAGATCGAAAGCCGGTTGGCAAACAGAATCCTATCAAATAATTCCTCAGCAAAATTGAAAATGAAGTGGGCATTGCAGCATACAGAGTAGGCAGCTTTTTATTTCTCCTCAAGAGTGACTTCTAGTGTTAGATCTTTTCTCTAGTAAGAAACTGTAAAAATGGCAGAGAACTTAGATACTTTCTATCAATTATTTATTTGTTAATGAATAGAAAGTTCAAAATGATTGCAATGGTGCTTAGCTTACTGCTCTTGTAAGAACTTGCATACACTATTTTTTAAAGTAAAAATGTGTTATATTATTAGAAGTAAAGTATGTTTATTCTAGAGAAATTGGAAGGTAACATAAAATTATAAAGAAAATATGCCATTATAATCTCACCATTAATTTTGTATGTAATAATGAAACATCTAAAGTGGAACATTTATATATATATGTATATACATATATATATATATACACACCCACACACACATATGTGTATATACATAATATGTTCATATGTATGTGTGTGTATATATACATATATATATAGTTTCAAATTTTCACTATCTTATAGAGTGCTTGGAGAATATCCTTAGAATAGAATCTAATCTCTTTAGGATGAATTCTAAAGTCTTTCCCTCTCTGGTTTTTATTTACATCCCTAGCTTCATATTTCACATTCTTCCTTAGCTTCAAACTACACTCCAGCCAGGGTTTGTTGTTGTTGATTTCTTTTTAACAAGTAAATATTTCCATTGCTGATGAATCTGCTTGGAACATGCATCTACCACTCCCCCTCCCCACAATTGTTAACTTCTTTCATAGCTGCCTTGAGGTGGCCACCAGCTACTACTCATTCTCCAGATGTCTGCTACGATATTACTCTCTGAACTGCACAGGTATGAGATAAGTTTGTTATATATGCTCCTTTAGCAAAGAACTTTATTATAGTCTTTTACAATTCAAGACAATAAGTGTTTAATTAATTTTATTCACCACCATTCCAAAAGCCTACTATAAATTTCATGTTTCATCAGATGAAACATGAGAACACCAAAGAATTACATAAAATTAACAGAAACAAAATGATTTAATTATCAGAAGAATGAGAATTGTCTTGACTTTGGGTAGAATAAGATAGAATCAAATGAATCGGTAAATTTGTTCTGGGTTACCAACAAAGTAAAATGGTACTAAGGGATCTCAATGCTGAAGAATAGTGAGAGAAAAGAATAAAACACACACACACACACACACACACACACACACACACACACACACAGCTATGTAAGGGGCTAAGTGGATCCAACACTTACACATTTAAGATCACCTTGGATGACTGGGTCCCATCCCAGACCAATTAAATCAGAATATCTGGGCATGCGTCCAAGCATCAGTATTTTTTCTCAAGTTCTCGTGTGACTTATAATGTACAGCCAGGCTTGAGAATAATTGAGCTATTTTATTATAGATAACTTTAAACTCAATGAAACTCTTTGTCATTTCTCTGGGATTACAGACCAAAATAAGTCCTTTAAAATTCTATCATTACGTTTTCTATACCTTCTCCCACTCTACTTCTCTTATTATATCTACTGTTTTTCCTCATCAATGATAAACAGAAATTTAAAGTTATATGCATATTAATATCTTAAATATTAAATCAAATAATTTATTATAATATGTAAACAAGCATAATTGAAAATATTACTAAGCGAGTAATAAAGACATAATTCTGAAGAAATATTTTAATAATCCTACCGCAAACTGTTGATATTGCTCACGGTCAATGCTTCTTGTACAAAAGATATCCCCAGTGTCTCTCTCTATGTAAAACAAGTTGTAGGGTTCTTTGTCCACGCCTGGTCCACTTATGGAATAAAAGATGGTGTAATTCTGTGCAGTGTCAGATTGGATCTGCAGTAATAATTCAGGAATAGAACAAATATGTCACGATAAATATTTTCAACCTAACCTCTTGTGATGGTTCATTTTTTATCACTAGCCCTCTTTCCTACTCTCCTATTCTTTCTTTCTTCTGCTTACGTGTCCATTATCTCCCATGTTTCCAAATTTTTGTTTGCATTTTGCATTGTGCAAAGTCACAAATTCTGTCACTTATTTGATCTCAAGGTTTTTGTCATTTGTATATCTACGAAATTTGTAGAGTAATACACCTTTTCAATTCTTATTTACTTATTCTTATCTTTATGTAAATAACAGTAACAGTTTCAGTGATTTTAAATTCTTTGGAAATAAATATTATGTGATTAATAAAACTAGAAGCAATGCAACTTTTCTTCCACAATTAATTCCTCAAAAATTACAAAATTTTAGCTGGGCGCAGTGGCTCACGCTTGTAATCCCAACACTTTGGGAGGCCTAGGAGGGAAAATCACCTGAGGTCAGGAGTTCAAGACCAGTCTGGCCAACATCTCTACCAAAAATGCAAAAATTAGCCATGGTGGTGGGTGCCTGTAATCCCAGCTACTTGGGAGGGTGAGCAAGAGGATTGCTTGATTTCAGGAGGTGAAGGTTGCAGTCAGCCGAGTTAGTGCCACTGCACTCCAAAATTTCAAAACTGTTCTGTTTGCATTCCAGCTATGTGGTAGTGAGGCTTACTTAGTAACAGAAATACAGGCCATATTTATAAAAAACAAGTGTTAGTTTAAGCAAGAGTGGAACTATGCAAAACATGTAGGTGTGCCTTCTGTACATTGGTGTTAACAAGTCTAGCATAATATTTGGGTGAATTTAGATGTAGACTTAAGAGATCAGAAACTCCAAATACAAAACTTCTTTCCAAATTTCTAAATATATTTGTAAGAAAGTAATAAGATATACTAGGTCACTTCTATGGCATCCTAGTTCTGGTGAATGGATGATCATGATTTGTACCATTAGTTTAAAGCTCCGATTCCGTATGCTGTGCAATTCAAATGAAAAGTTTAACAATGAAAAACTCTGACGTATGTAAAATTAAATAAGGTGAAATGCACCTGCTGAATGTGTTGTGGAAATGGACCCAATGAGTTCTCCATCAATGAACATGGAATAGGACCCCATCGTCTCTTGCTGCGCTTGAGGGCTGTGTCTTTGGCATGTCTCTTCTTAGGAGCCTACATTTGACAAGAAACAAAGGAATGTAGTATTGCTTATCATTTTTGGAACTGTGATTTTTGACACGTACATCAACAAGCAGATGTAAGGATTATACATTAGAGTATCATGGATAGTCGCCAAGGCATTTCTATTGATAACAGGCACACACACCGCAGACTGTGTTATGTTCCCCTGTTCTCCCTCTTTCTCTATTTACTCAGTTAACCACCAGGAACTGTATAGAGCATTTGGAAAGATGTCACTTTGAGAAGGTATGGACCCCCCCAAAGTAGATAATTAAGAAATATTTAAGAATCACTTTATTCCACTAGGAGTGGTACAACCAAAATCTTTAAAACCCTTGCTACAGTACAATCATTTATACATCTCTATAAAGACACAGGTCAGCATTTGCTCAAGTATACTTGATTTTATACAATGTGGGGACTCTACAATGTGGATATATAATAACACTTTGTAAGCCTTAAGCGTATTAAGAGGAGTTCTTGTAATTAAATGGAATTTAGTTAGGAAATCTGCTCATAAATGGAATCAGTTATTAACAAATGATTTTATAAGATGAAATTCATTAGGTTGAGTTTGCTGAAAATGGGATGGGAATTCCAGCAACTTTTTCCTTCCTGCTTTCTGAACTGAGCTCTACCACTCACTGCAAGAAAATGAGCCTAGAGTCAAACGTTCAAACCCATCCTGTGGACTGGCCACACCTCCACTCTCTGAAGAGAGGGGCTCCCTCATAGAATTTTTGAGTAAGATGGGAGTAAGCTTTAGACAATCTCTTCTCCTCTTTAAAGAGAGACTCACACCTGCAATCAGTGGGAAGAGAGCCGCACAGGGTGGAGCCCACATCTCCAGCCTGAATCACATTCCGCTGAGTTTTAGACCCGCCCCTGTCTTGCCCTTGCTCCTCAGGTTGGTTTGTTCTTATTGCCAAACCTGAAATTACTATCAGAAAACTTTGATATTCTTACTTTGCTCCCTGTCTACAGAGTCATTTATCTTTATACAAGTTTGTAAATAGTTCTGCCACTCTTTAAAAGTCTAGTTTTTATTTACATTAATTATAAGTGGAAAAGACACATTTCTCATTCAGTAGCACGGATTTTAGTGTGAAAGGAGTATATAACATGAAGGACGCCCATAAGCAGATTACTGTGCAAGGTTGCTTCTGCCCTTGCCTTATACCTTGTTTTCTCTTGCTGACAGTACAACTTCTATTGTTTTTTGTTCCTGTCTCTGACGGTCTGAAAGGAAAATGGAAAAACTTTTCCTTTCAGAAGACAAAATGAGGTCATGTGTTGTGTAAATGGAGCCATCTTCTAGAATTCTGAAGGTAGGGTCACTGGACAGGATTAGGCTGGCTGACTTGAGACACTCCTCCAGATTCACTGCAGGGAAGAAATGTCACAGCAATTTGTCAGATGAAAAAGGAGTAGATCAAGTTTTACAGGAATGACAACCATGAATTAGTGCATGAGAAGCAGAAAATGGGAGGTTACATTTGGAATGTGCTCAGCAAAGTGTGGGGGCCATGAAGATTGAATAGTTAAATTAATGGAGTTATATTTTCCACTACTTTCGCCATGCATTAATTCAAGAAGTAAAATATTTTCTTAGTGTCACTGGTTTTATTCTCTTTTCTTTGAACTCTTAATCATCTTGTGTGTGTGTGTAAATTTATATCTCTGTATACAAACTTAATTTTTTATGTAATAAGTGGTATAACTGTATGATGTCAGTAGATTTGAACTTTTTGAAATAGTTTGATAGTTGAAACTACCTTGCCAAAAATAAGAAAACTAGGTGACTCACACCTGTAATTTCAGCACTTTGAGAGGCTGAGGGAGGTGGGTCACAGGGTCAGGCATTCTAGACCATCCTGGCCAACATGGTGAAACTCCATCTCTACTAAATACAGGTGGCTCATGCCTGTATTCCCAGCACTTTGGGAGTCTGAGGCAGGTGGATCACCTGAGGTCAGGAGTTCAAGACCAGCCTGGCCAACATGGTGAAACTCCGTCTCTACTAAAAATACAAAAATTAGCTGAGCATGGTGGCGGGCACCTGTAATCCCAGCTACTTGGGAGGCTGAGTCAGGAGAATTGCTTGAACGTGGGAGGTGGAGGTTGCAGTGAGCAGAGATAGCATCACTGTATTCCAGCCTGGACAACAGAGCAAGACGTTATCTCAAAAAAATAAACATATAAGTGAGAAGAAAACTAGTCTATTCTTAAGTAATATTTCCTAGTAATATTGCAAATAATCTTTCTATAATATCTTTTGAGGTTTAGTAAGCCTAATGCATTGTGGTCATTACAAATTACTTCCTTTACAGATTCATACTTAATACATTGTGTATTTAATAATTTAAAACATTAAAACACTGAGAAAAACAGCAGCTGGCTTAGAAAGGATTCCATTTCTCTATTCAGTTTGTAATTTTTTTTTTTTTTTGAGACGAAGTTTCACTCTTGTTACCCAGGCTGGAGTGCAATGGCGTGATCTCGGCTCACCACAACCTCTGCCTCCCGGGTTCAGGCAATTCTCCTGCCTCGGCCTCCTGAGTAGCTGGGATTACAGGCACGCAGCACCATGCCCAGCTAATTTTTTTTTTGTTTTTTTTTGTATTTTTAGTAGAGACAGGGTTTCACCATGTTGACCAGGATGGTCTCAATTTCTTGACCTTGTGATCCACCTGCCTCGGCCTCCCAAAGTGCTGAGATTACAGGCATGAGCCTCCACACCCGGCCAGTTTGTAATTTTTTACATGTGAACTCAAAGCCAGTGAAAAACCTTGATGAAAAAATGTTGCCTTTGAACTCAAGAACAACCAACTTATGCTTCAGAGATGCCTACGGTACCAAGACCCACCAAAACTTTGATTTTCACAGGCTATTCTGTGAAATATGTCACATTTATTCTTGGTGGGTACTTGTAATCAGGCTTGAGTACAAATTTATTGGAGGTATTTACATTTTGAGACATCCATTTCATGATTAATCAATTAAAGAATCTTGGCTTTGAAATTTTGGCAGCAGATTAGTTTATATAAATTAGAATATGCTCCTGGTTTTGGTGCCTTGCTTTGTTTAATGTAATCCAAGATAATTTAGTCTTCTAATGTTTGCTAATTTTTTTGGCAAGAGAAGTATACAACTAACTTTGGTATTTTAATTATTTCTAACCACTACCAAAAAATAAGTAGCCTATCATTTATTGTACATACAATTTTAACATCAAGTAGCTACTACATGGCTTTTATCCCAAACTTCACAAGGGCAGCCTGAAGCTAAATGTGGCAAGTTACAACTATGAAATTGTTAGTAGAGTTTCTCACCTTTGCCTACAAGTGTTTCAGCCTGAAGATGAGAAGGAACTCGAAGAGAAATTTTCTGACAAGCATCGCAAAGTAATATTAAAACCTCAAAAAGAGAAAAGATATCAGGAATTACATTTGATCACAAATTTTTATGTTACAGCTTTTTCTTATTAATAAAAATATTGCCAATTTTGGAAACAAATTAATTATTTAATTTTTTAAATTTTTAATATTCACTTTAAAAGGAACCAGCAAAGAGAATAGCTTTAGGGATAACACTGTCATTTAGTATCAATGAAAAAATTAAGAGAATAGTAGTTCTTAGAACCTAACTTGTATCAATGCAAGAAAATATTTCACAAACCATTGACTTTATGTGTAAGTTATACATCTCTAAGACCATTCATAAATGCCTGCCTGATTTTTAGCATGAAGAACATACTTAACTCTAAAATGCATAATTATGTACCTGTACTAATTCTCCAATCATTATTTTTACTGTTTGAAGGTATTGTTTGTTGATGGAGTCTAGCAAATAGTTAAGACTTTTTTAACCTCACAAGAAAATGCCACCCCCACTAAAATTACTGTTCTCAAAGCAATTTTCAGACAGACTTGGCCGAAACTTCAAAGTCTAAATGATTTCAGATCACATGACTAGTCTAAAAACAAATATAGGTCAAAATATGAAGAATATCTTTCAAATAGGCAAAGATTTTTAATGAAATTCAAGACCCAGCTATTGTTTTTAAAAGCTAGGCAGTTCAAAGACAAAGATACTATCTGAAAAACAAAAGAAAAGCTATTATTTCAAATATGTCTACAAGTTCACAACATATTTTGTTTCCTTTTCTTGGCATTTTCCATTTGTTTCTCATTATCCAAATTACTGCTTTTTTATTATTTAAAAAGAAGATAGAGTAGAGGTAGATTTCCCAGCAACGTGCAGGTCAATTTTATGAGCAGCTTTTCTCTGAAGATATATTTCTAGAATGATGGAACCCATTATTTGTGAGGAGGAAAGAGAATGGATTAACATCCATATTAAGGATATGCACTTTTTTTCCAGCTTAAATCAAGTCTATCAGATAGATTGTAGCAGTCTAATTAAATAGTTTGTAATTTTATTAATCTCTGTTAATCAGAAATCTAGAATTTAAAAGACCACATTTTATTTCGTTCTAATTTAAAAACTACTTTTTAAAACATGAGACATTCATATATACTTAATTTTTTAAATATGTTCATCCCTAATGCCAAGGAACACACTAAATTATACTCAAATAACTTTCTGAGCATAGACCATACTATTAGTAGTGGTCTAAATATGTAATGTTGAAAGAACATTTTGTAATTAGAATATACATGTGTACATACATATACACACATACACATACATATACACATATACCTGTATATGTATGTGCATGTATATATGTAAATATACACACAGTCACATATTGCTTACATTCTAAGAAATGCAACGTTAGGTGATTTCATCATTTTGTAGACATCATAGAGTATATTTACACACACTTAGAATATATAGTCTACTACACACCTAGGCTATACCTACATGGTATACACCGTGGTATATATATGTTTACCCCATGGTATACATCATGGTACAGCCTAGGTGTGTAGTATATAGTATAGCCTGTTGTTCTTAAGCTACAAACCTATACAGCATGTTCCTCTACCGAGTAATGTAGGCAATTATAAGTATTTGTGTAACTAAACATTTTTAGATATAGAAAAAGAATATCAAAATATAATATAAAAGGTAAAAAATGGTCCACCTATACAGGGCAGCTCCAGTATAATCTATGGGACCAGTTACATATGTAGTCTATCACTGACTGAAGCATCATTATGCAGCATATGACTGTATATGTATATGCAGGTGTACATGCAGATATATAAATGTATGAGACATTCTCATAGGTTATATCCACACTTCTGGTGCCACAGCCATCTTTTTTTCTTCCTGTCCTAGGAGTCCACGCTGATAGTCCTCCCTCTGCAGGCAGAGCCTCTGAAGATTTTTATTCATTAAATACTATTCCAGTCTTCAGGTTAAATCAATTACTAAGTGTCTTAGTGACACCCTTTTAGTCAGTTTCAGGATCAGAAATAAACGAACAGGAAATGAATTATCCAAGAGATATCAGTACAGGGATCAGAAGCAAAAGAAATGTGGGTAGAATCCTTCGGAAAATTTTTACCACATTTTACCAAATTTGTACTAACTCAAGATGGTATCTGAGTTTTCTTCTCCTCAAGCAGCTCCAGAATGAGAAGGTGACCAACAATTCTACATTGTATATTATTTACATGGAGGAAATGTTTGTCCCCATATGTGCCATTTCTAAAAATATAATTTGAAACTAAAATATTTTGCTAAAATGAGCAAAAAGGAAATTCACAGCTCAGAAATGATGGATGGATGTGTGAAATAAGCCCCCTCTCTTCCCACACCACCAAAAAAGAAATAGCACCTTATACACAGTTACAAAGCTATTAAAAACCCAAGTGCAAGCCAAGTTAAGGATATTTTCAATGACTGTCACATTTTTGTTATTTTTCTTAAACTATTCTTTGCTTAAAACTGCTTCATGGGTAAAATTCGAAAAGTCCTGGATAATTTCCATGTTCACCAGAATCCTTTCTCCTTTTTTGTAGCTCAGTAGAACTCAGCATGTTAAATAACATGAGTTTATGTAATCACTGGTAGCAAAAGTAAACCTCAGAACCTTCTGAGCCAAGTGCCTAAGGAATGAATTCATTTCTCTACTCCTTAGAAAAACACCACAGCAGGATGGAAGAGGGATTCCCTTGAAAAATTTTAACACCCTGGCAGTGCGTGCTTGAGAAGTAAGAGAAACACTTTTCACCCGGGATCCCAAGTTTGTCAACTCTTCCCTGAATCTTCCTCAGATCTGTTTTTGTTTTCCCCAATCTCTCTTCTCTGCCTCGCATCCCCACTGCTAGTCTCTCTCAAGCTCAAATTGCAGAGAGGAAGCAGGTAGTAACGTGCTTGAATTCCCTAATCCTTTGGTTGTTACTCACCAGGAGAGAGAAAAGGAGCTGCTTACAGAAGATGCTCCCTGGGGCAGCGGAGGCCACAGCCATCAGAAGCAGTCCCAATGGCCAGGGACAATGGCCAGATAACAAGGCAGCCTGGGATGCACAGGGCAGCTAAGCAGACGCTGGCACTTCGGCAGGATATTCTGCCGCCACTTTGATGCAGCTGAGCTTGGTTTGGAAGAGAGTCAGGAGGTAAGTGATAGGAGGAGGAGCAACAGGAGAATTGCTTTCCCCCTATTCCCTGGCCAGTCTCCTTCCTTCCAGTTCAATTACCTCTAAATGCAAAGAGGTTTTTCCATAAGTGAGGAGGGTGGGGTACAAAACACCCCAAAACCCAGTCAGTAGCTCCTCCTCACAGCAGCTTTCAAAATTTATCTTACCACTTAACACATAGACAAAAGCAGGAGGGAACACCCTTCATCCTCAGCTCTCCTCCCTTTCCCCCAGGTTGATGCTGTGAAGTCCTCCCCAGTTATTACCCACTCCCACAGCCTCCCCTCCTTCTTGGCCTTATTAACCTGTCTTGCCCCTGGGTACAAACATAAATTGTGCACAAACGCCATGCAAGGAAGTGATGTCTCCTCGACTGCCATTGGCAAATCGGAGGACCTAAGCATGTGTAATCACACTTATCAGAAGTTATCTCCCATCTAAGCATTTAGGTGTTGTCGGTCCCGTAGAGCATTGTAGTTCTGCCAGAGAGCTGGCATTCCAGTTTAAAGCAGTAACTTCTTAAAGGCATTGTGTGTACTTCCTGTTATCGACTATTCACTGTGGTTGGTCCTCTAGATGTCACAAGGAACTTATCAGAGTGTGAAGACTTCATGAAAGTAAGAGAATAAAGAAGTAGCTAGCATATAATCTTTCTTCTGGCTTTCCTTTTGTTATACATGAAGCCATTGCTTTTTACCCTTATAACTTTTCAAGGACAACTACCATCTTTCAGACCAAGTCTCTAAAATCACTCTATGCACCATAATTACTTGTACATTACATATAGGATATCCTAGCCTAATGGTACAATAAGGCTATCAAATGTAGGTGTTTTTAAACCCTAATGATTATTCTAATAAGAGCTTTAGCATCATTATTCCTATCCCAACTTAGTGAGCTCAGTGACATCAATTGCACTCAATGGCAGTGATGGAAGTTAGGAGAGGAAGATACATATTTTCAAATGTTAAGGTAGAGCCCAGAACCCAGGTTGCTGAGAAGGGAGGAATGAGATTTTCTTCAGCTTATTTGAAAATGGGAACAATTGCTTCTTTATGTAGAGACAAATAATAATGTAACTGCTTCATTAGAATTAGATGCTAGGAAGATTTGGAAAATGAATGACCCATGAGAAAAAACCTACAAGATATCTTGTAATATTTTATTGCTAGTGGTATACCCACTAGTAAACATATTTTGTGACTGCATTGGAATTTGATTTCTTAATCAGAAAATACATTCACTTTAATGGAATATTTTCACATCTAGCACTTTGGGAGAAAAGAATGGGAATATAGAAATAGAAAAACGACTTAGATGTCTATGTGTGAAGCCAAGTGTAATTCTGTCCATGTTTAAGCATAATCATCTAAGTATATATGTAGATAGATAGATATACAGGCAAATAGATAGATAGTCATATAGCTTAAATGATTCAAAGATAAATTCTCTGACCCTACAAATTAGAAAGACATTTTTCAGCTAATGAAGTTATCATTACCTCTTTCTATAATATGATATTCTCCACCGAACTAGGAAAATATAGAAAAGCAAAATTAAATTGGTGTTACTGAAAAAAAATGGCATATATTTGTTGGATGAAGAGATTCCAGGCACTGCTAAATTCAAGCAAATCCAGAATACTCCACAGTTCTGCAAAATTGATGTTCTGATCCTAATTCTTTTAGCCTACCTTCTGCATGCTCTTTTCCCATTATCTAGCGTTCTCAAAGATAATAGAAAATCTTGTGTAAAAGCTAACCCTAAATCATTTGTTTTCAAATCTATTACATTAATATTTCTCCCATATTTTGTATTTGCACACAAAGGTTTCCTAAAAATAAAATATAGGTACCATATAGGGAAAAAATAATTCATTATTACAAATTATTGACTTACTTAAAATTGACTCTGGCTTAAAATTAAATAAAAACAAGATTTATTTCTTCTAATTTTCTGCCATCAGATTATTCAGTAAGAACTCTTAATCTGTTTTCTGTTGCCATCAAGAAATACCTTGGTATTTTATTTAAAACACACACACACACCAGTTAGTTTGGCTCATGGTTCAGGACACTGCAAAGTTCAAGAGTATGGCATGGGCATCTGATGAGGGTAATCCCATGATAGAAGGCAGAAGACAGAGCCAGTGCACAAGACAGACAGGGAAGTGGCCTAACTTACCAGTTATCAGAAGTCCACTCTCAGGATACTAACCCATTCTCTAGGGTGGAGACTTCATAGCATAATCAACTTTTTTTTTTTTTTTTTTTTTTTTTTTGAGACGGAGTTTCGTTCTGGTTACCCAGGCTGGAGTGCAATGGCCCGATCTCGGCTCACCGCAACCTACGCCTCCTGGGTTCAAGCAATTCTCCCGCTTCAGCCTCCCGAATAGCTGGGACTACAGGCATGCTCCACCATGCCCAGCTAATTTTTGTATTTTTAGTAGAGACGGGGTTTCACCATGTTGACCAAGATGGTCTCGATCTCTTGACCTCGTGATCCACCAGCCTCGGCCTCCCAAAGTGCTGGGATTACAGGCGTGAGCCATCGCGCCCGGCCCGCGTAATCAACTTTTAAAAATCCCGCCTCTTAACATAATTATAACGGCAGCCAAATTTCAATATGAGTTTTGGCAGGAACATTCAAACCACTACAAGCTCTATTTTATTTTTAGTTTTATGTGTATATTTGTTTGTTTTAATCTATGTCTAAATTAATAGGCTTAAGTAAAAGATTGATAATGTTGTGTGGTGGTTGAGAACTTACACTTAGAAGCTAGAATGCTTGGGTTTAAATTCTGGCTTTACTACTTATTAGCAATGAAATCCCTAGGCAAGTTAGTTAACTCTTCTGTGCCTCAGTCTCTTTATCTATAACATGGAGACAGTAATGGCTGCTAATTCATAGGTTATTATGAAGATTAAATGTGATATTATAAAGAAAATACTTCCAACAATGTCTGGCTCAGAGCAAGCACTAATATTTTACACCATGTAATTGCCTAGGCATGCAATAAAAAATTGAAGATTGACCTTCAAATGAAACAAAAAAAAAATTATTGCAAATCCAAGGTTTCTTATGTAAAGGCTACCTAAAGATACATGAATAGGTTTACTAATTGAACAAATAGCTAAGGGTTTATATATTGGGGTCTGGCCTTTGCTAGAGAGAAGCATCTTATAGAGAGAAAAAAAGAAGACAGAAATATTATGACATTAAACTGAAGGGACACCTTAAGAACATACAGTTATCTTTCCAGTTCAAAAGACAGGATGAAAAGAGGCAGTGTAGAAGAGAAACTAAGAACAAGATTAAATGTCAGAAACCCCTATAGAAAAAATACTTTATTTTAAATATGTAAATACTGCATAATCTGTTTTCTACCACACGTTTATGGTCATACCGAGAAAGATTTTAATGTAAATCGTTTATGATTCTTGCATTTATTTAGTTTTTTCTCTTTTTGGCTTAAGGCACATCAAGGAAATATATCTTTTTTATAAATTTAAATAATGTATTTTATAGAATTGCAGTGACAAGTTTTATTAGAGATGTTTATGTATGACCAACTTTCAGAAAGGGGCTCATTATGAATAAATTCAGGGCCTCAAGAAAACCATTTACAGATAGAATCGTTATCTCTGTAAGATGATCCAATTTATTCTAAAAGACTCCTAGACTGGTAGGAATGCTGGACACACTGATGAAGCCATAACAAGTCACTTTGGGTTAAATACAAATGACTAAATAAACCAGAAACCAGGTGTAAAAACAGAGTTTGTGAGTTTCATATGGGCGAAGTGTATGAACAAAGAAAAAGAAGCATTAGCTACTAAAAAATAAAAACTTGGTTCCCATGAGTTCAACATACTGCAGTGGAAACTCCCTCAATCTCACTAGACTCACAGTCTTCTACGTGGGTAAAGGACTATTAAAAATTAGAAATATCTCACGTGCACTGATAATTACTAATGATGATTTCTCAAGGCTGTTTGTGTAGAATAGTGATTAATTTTATATAAAATGCTCACTCCCCATTATTAGCAAAACTGTTGACAAACCTATGAAAAGAAATGTTAGCACACATCTCTGGGTAGTTCAGAACTCTTTCTACTCAGCCCACACACCTAACTCAAACTGGCTTAAGAGAAAACAAAACAAAATTATTGAGCACAAAAGGATTTGCTAGGTCATGTAACTGGAAGGCTAAGGATAGCCTAAGGTTTAGGCATAAATTCCCTCCATCTCTCAGCTCTGCCTTTCTTTGTGTTGGTTTCATTATTTCAGTTTTCCCAGTGTGGAGGCAAAGATGACCACCAGAAGCTCCAGGATTTCAACAATGACTGGTTTAGCAAGTTGTTGTTGAAAGAACATGTCTTTCCTCCAATAGTTTGAACAAACACACAATCCTTCTGGCCTGAATCTTACATATAAACCTAAAGTCAAGGGGTGGGCCTGACCACATGGGCAAAAAATGGTGGAGAAGTAATTGCCCAAAGATAATGTGAGGCTATACAGAAAAAATGTTACTAGACAAGCAGATCAACAGATGTCCACTAAACTTACTGTTTCAAATTTTGTTATTTTAATAATAATAGTTATTCAGCATTTATTAACACCGTCTCTATGCTGAGTGCTACCAGTGTTGCTGATGATACAGAGCTGATGAACCCATGATATCTGCCCTCATGGAGCTTACACTTTACTATATGTTTTAACAACTAAAGTAGTTTCTATGATGGTCAGGATTAAAATCCTGGAGAAATGAATATAACACATATTTTAGATTTTTATTTATTTCTTGCTGTATTTTCCAGTTATTATTTTTTTGGTGGTCTTCAAACTTACATGTTTGAAAACTACTTTTTAATGTGGATGGAACCTTACTATCAATTACTTGTATATTAAGAATCACATTCTTTGGGAGGCCGAAACGGGTGGATCACGAGGTCAAGAGATCGAGACCATCCTGGTCGAAATGGAGAAACCCCGTCTCTACTAAAAATGCAAAAAATTAGCTGGGCATGGTGGCGCGTGCCTGTAATCCCAGCTACTCAGGAGGCTGAGG